AATAGGGCTTCTCCAAGCAGGACGTGATGTCAGCCTGACCTAAGGAGAAACCACAAAGTACTTGTTCAGCTCGGGGCTGTGGGCATACTGGCGCGATGAACAAAGAACTCCCCCAGCGAGCCCTCTGCACTGAGTAGCAGCGTCTACGTGCACTGGATTTTTGTGTTGTCCAGAAAGTCACCATCGTCAAGTCATGCCAAGAGGATTTCTTTTGGGGTGTGATGGAGCCTGCCTCAGGAATGACTTGATAATATCAGAAAGGAGTCAAGTGGCTCCCTCTCCCTGAAGGATCCTTTTAGTCAGAGGACTTGAGGACTTTAAAGTTGGAAGGAAATTTCAGAATCATCAGGTGAAGACCTCCCATTGTAGATGAAGAGGCTGAGGTCCTGGGAGGTCCTGTGACATGCGTCCCCGTCCACAGAGCACTTCGGGGCACAGCTGGTATTCCGGGTTTCCACGGCGCTCGACTCTGGGGCTACAAATTAGATATAAGATTTTTTTTTAAATTCATAATCATCTGGAGTAGATTATGGCAATCCAGTCACTAGCAAAATATTTTAAAGTGCCTGTCACCATGCTGTCTTGGTGCTTTCAGAGCCTTTTTTTCTGAATGAGGGAAGAAGTTTTAGAGAAACAGTAGTCTGTGGCTGGAGGAGTTGAAGAAAAATCTTGAGGAGAGTATCTGAATGTCTTGATAAGAGCATGCTCTCCAAAAGTGGGGTTCACGTTCAGAGATTGCTAAACATCTCTTCCGTTTGGAAGCATGTGGGTTGAAAACTGGGCTGGGAGGCGTGAGAGCTGCCCCCGGGCCTGAGGGAATGTGTGCAGCCTGTGCCGTGTTCGGAAGGGCAGGCTCTGAGCTGAGGGCCAGCACCCTCCCAGCAGGGTCCCCCAGAGCCGCCACGAGTGGGGAGGAGTCTCGGCATTATGAGCCGTCAGTCCCCAAGAGCCTGCTAGGAAAGGGCCGAGGATGTTCCAGATTGAACGGCTGCCTTCCAGGCTTTCTGGGCTCTCACCAGCCTTAGTCACCTGCTTCTTTTCATTGTGTTGAGTCCATGAGGTGTCATGTCCAACTGCGGCTCTTCCTCCTCAAGTCCCCCTGCCTCCCCCCTCCTCTGTCCCTGCTGCCCGTTCTGTTTGACTCAGGAATAGTGACAGCAAGTCATGAGAAGCAACAGTTAGGTAAAAATACAAGACAAATGACAGGCTTATTTGACTCAGTGCTCACTTTCATTTTTAGGTAATTTTACATAAGTCTACATAAACTGTAAAAAACAAAAACAAAACTATACCTGGATGTTTTGTTGCTCTGAGTAGGAATGAGTCTTTAAGGAAATGTACTTTAAAAATAAAAAGGATGTTTTTCTGTTCTGTGGCCTCATTAATGAGACAATACCAAGCCCGTAAGTGAGCAGAAGACTGTCTTACAGGGAGTGCATCCAGGATGCAGAGCCTTCCGCGGGCAGTGTCTGTACGGACAGTCTGTTCGGTGGCAGTGGCTCTCTGCGGAGTGTGAACACAACGGCCTTTCGTAGGTTATCTGATTTCATGGGAAATTGAAGTATAAATGACGAGAGCAAGTTTTCTCCTATGTTCATGTATGAAAGAACTGTGCTTAGCTAGGAGAGGGGGGAAAGGGGGGAAGATAGAGAGGAAAGAGAGACAGAGGATTAAGCCCAAAGTCTAGTTAGAAATTTCAGTTCTAGGCTGGACTCTGCCTTGGAGTTGTTTCTGAGGGCCCATTGGAATGTATGCTGCTCAGTTTCTCTTAGAAAAGAGTACAGGAGAATTAGACCACCACAGTGGTGTAAAAACACCACGTTGAAAGTGTTTTATGATCCAGAGATCAAAATTCCAATGTACCAACCACAAACAGTTCAGTCCCTTTCATTAAAAAACTGATTTCAAGTGGCAGTAGCATTTGTGGAACCTCAAGATGTTCAACTCCAATCTACATGACATAGAATTCAGAGGCTTCAGGGTTAAGAGAAAATGGGGCTTTACGAATCTGCTCTTTGGGACACGGTTTCCAGCTCATTCTCAGCTCCAACCTTAGGGTGCCTATGAAGGGAAACATGTGTGAAGGAACTTATGTCAGCCAAGTTCAGTGTAGCCGGAAGGTAGGACCTTGAAATCATCATATTTTTTTTAATATATTTTATTGATTTTGTACAGAGAGGAAGGGAGAGAGATAGAGAGTTAGAAACATTGAAGAGAGAGAGAGTCATCGATCAGCTGCCTCTTGCACACCCCCCACTGGGGATATGCCCGCAACCAAGGCACATGCCCTTGACCGGAATCGAACCCGGGACCTTTCAGTCCCCAAGCTGACGCTCTATCCATTGAGCCAAATCGGTTTTGGCTGAAATCATCATATTAATAGACCAGCAGCTTAGGCCTTTCCTGCTTTGTACTATTCCTGTTCTGGTTGAAGTGGGTGCGCCCGTTTTTTACCATGGGCGTGGCATACGGGGTTTTTTTTATTCCTGCTCACCTGGCATTTGGCCCGAATGCCATGACTCTTGGCTTCACCAGTGTGCACAAGTTGCTCATAAACCAAATCAAGATGTGACCAACAGCTAGATAATTTTAAAAGAGTCACGTGATTCTGGGGGGAATCAGCCTTCAGGCTGTTGCCTCACATAGGGTTTAGTCTGTGGTTTCCCTATATAGTGCCAGGAAGCTGCATCATTATTAGCGGTTTGAGCCAGATACTCAGATAGACAGGCAGTCACATGCCTACATACACAATGACCTCACTGAGCAACTCAAATTTCCTGGATGTTGGGAAATTCGGGCCAGTTGAAGAACCTTGTCCTTGCAATGTGAGGATGCCGGTGGTTGATAATGATTCAGCAGTACATTCCAATCTGAATTTCAAAACAATTAGCCAGTTGCTGAGGGGGACATCTGAATTGCTGATCATCTACTTTCCAGAGATGGAGTCTTCAGAGTAGCTTGATCCCTGAACCAATTCAAATAGATTAAAATTAGATCTCCTGGCTCAAAGAAAATTATCTTGGACGAGTTGGCATTCCCAAGGGCACTAAGATTTTCATTACCCTAAGTCAGTGGTTGGCAAACTGCGGCTCGCGAGCCAACCACTGCCCTAAGTGAATACAGCAGGGGGATTCTCCAGGCCGTTTTACATGCAGCCACCTATGCTCCCCAACTGTGCCTTTGTGCCTTACTGTCATTCCTGCCTTGTCTAGCTTGTAAGTTCTGGCTTTGGGGTCTGGTGAGCAGGATTGAGACAAGGGCCTAATATTCCAGTTCCAATTTGGCCCTAGACAAAGCAGTCACCTATATTATTAATAGGTATATCAGAGTAAAAGCTTTTTTTTTTTTTTCCTTTCTTTCTTTTTTCTGGGTCACTTAAGGACAGTTCCCATGGGTTCCTGAAAAACAGTTTATTCTGCTGGTGGACTATTTGCACAGAGCATAATGAGATGTTACGGCAGAGCCTAAGAAACTTAAAAGTCATTCAGAGGGTTGTCTCATTCTCTGTAGATGTACTTCACTAAGCATATACAGTATAGACTGGACATCTGGAATTACTGAAAAAATCAGGTGGTAATGATTCATTTTACAAAGACTATTTAAATATGAATTTCCATAGTGCACTTAATCACTCGTTTGTTGGAAGCTTTGTCCACTTGAAATGATCTGACAGCTGTTGGGTGGTTTTTTTGTGTGTTTGTTTTTAAAAATATATATTTTATTGATTTTTTACAGAGAGGAAGAGAGAGGGATAGAGAGTTAGAAACATCGATGAGAGAGAATCATTGATCAGCTGCCTCTTGCACCCCCCCCACCCCCCCACTCCCCCCCACTGGGGATGTGCCCGCAACCAAAGTACATGCTCATCACCGGAATCGAACCTGGGACCTTTCAGTCTGAAGGCCGACTATCCACTGAGCCAAACCGGTTTTGGCCTGTTGGGTGTTTTAACAGATCAGGATAATGCTTTTTAAATAGAATTTGAAACTTAGAATTCATAAACATTTCAATAATTGTCAGCACCTCATTCCAATTTCACAAAAGTAAAGTTAGGTACTCAAATGAAGGGTCTTCTGGAGGAAGTGTTAGGCTCTTTCCAATTAGGTAAACATCACGTCTAACAATATTTTTTTCTTCCCCCATGCCTTATACTAACTTTCCAGAAGGAAGATCAGTAAGCAAAAGTGACTCTGTAATTCTCAAAAAAGTGTTTTTAGAACTGCCCATTTATAAGAGGTACTGTCTTGAAATTCAGAATTTTTATGTACTTGAGAATTGAGTCTGCATTGCCTTGCCTTCAGCATTCATTTCTCCTAATGGTTATTTTTTCTTCAGCCCTGTGACATAGAAGAGAGCATAAAGGCATTTATTATTGGGTGGAGGTTTGAAGGCTGAATGAGGGCATATACTCAGTAGCCTCAGGCCCCTCCTGAGAACGCTGGAAGCAGAGTAGTGGAGGCCAAACTTTGGACTTCCAGTCCAGCTCTGGCTATTACTATCTATGTGACCTTGGACCATGGCTTTGAGCCTGTTTGCTCCTGTGTAAAATGAGGATAATATTTAACATGTACAACATAGAGTTGTAGAAAAAACTAAAATATGTAAAACAGCCAACACAATGCATGGAGCTTAATGTGTATCCAGTAAAACATGGTTATTACTGCTATGAGCCAACATTCTTCTTGAAGTCAAGTCATGCTCTTGTCAAATGTCACTTGCTGTGTTCTCCAGCCCTCAGTGGATTCCTTCTCCCTCTGGCTAACAGGTGTAGCTGTTCCATTTCTATGGCTGTAGTCCAGTTAGGTGTATCTGAACATAAAATTAACTTCTAATATGGACACCAATTTAAAATTTTATTTCAAGAATTCCATAAAACAAACAAAAAACACCTTCATGCTTAGACTAATTTGCACTGGAAAAATTCCAGGCTGAGTCCTAAGTTATTATTTAATGTTAACATTTTTATAACTCTAAAACTAATTTCCTTAATGTGACTTTAGATAATGTTTAATTTGGATAAAGTACACATCATTTTGGATGAGATGCTATTAAATGGCTGCATTGTAGAAACGAATCGGGCAAGAATTCTTGCCCCTCTACTAATTCTCGATAAGATGTCAGAAAGCTGAGTAACGGGAGGCTCTGCTGGGAACCGTCAACACAAGAAGTGAGAACATGGAATGCCTCAGCACCTGCAGCCCCAAGAATCGGGAGAGCACACTGCACACCGGGCATCTTTCCAGAGACATTTTAAATAGGTGTTTTTCATAGCTCCTGAATGGAAAACAAAGCCGTATTTTAAAGAGATGTTTTCTTTTCTAACCATAAACATTTTTCGCTTGTTTTTTTATTAATAATAAAATGTTGGTTTCTGCTTCCCTTTGCAAATTAAATTCAGGAATAGCACCATGAGGTGGGAAGTATGGCAGCTCTTTATCAGCCAATAAAAGTGTAGAACTGGCAAACACAAGTAGCACTGTCTTCTGAATAAGACTGTCTAACTATGCTGTACTGAAAATACTGTAATTGAAATGTGGAAAAAAAATTTTAAGTCTTAAAAAAAGTCAAAATTTTACTATATTGTGTGTCTAATGAAAACAAAAGAATTAAATTTTATTTGCCAGTTTCTGAAAGTGTGCGATCCTTTTTATAGGCTCTTGGCAATTACAATGCCATCATGTTATTAACTAGAGTATGTTACTACAAAATAATGAACGGTTAAACATTGAAAGCGAGTCCTTACTTCTTGGCACACCTCGGCCCCTGGGCACCCAGCATGCACTGCCCTACTGCCCAAGAGGAAGGGTCAGCTTTGCCAAGAGAGCAACCAAGGAGAGCTCAAAGGGAAATCAGAAAGGTTGTTGGCTAAACCTTCTGCAAAAAGGCGGCAAGAAAGGGTAAATGTGCAGACAAATAGTGCGTATGAAAAGGAAAAGGGAAGAAGAAAAGGGGAAACAAGCCAAAGTGACAAACCTAAAGATCTACCTGCAGAAAACAAACTAAAAATGAGGGGAGTCCAGCCTCATATGAAGCAGGAGAAAAAGAAGCCAAGTATGATTGCCATCATATGCCATGTCTTAACAGTGGTCCCTGTCACCCTTCTTGTGCAACCCAGAGGAATATTTTTGTCAACTACTCGGTAAATGCTAATTTTTCAGTAGTCCGAGAAAGAAACATTGATAAAGGGAATTATGTTTTTTGTTTGTTTCTTTTACTGTAAATGCTTACTTTTTAGAAGTGAAATCATTTGCTGGCTTATTTTTTGGTACAACCAGGAAATAGTGGGATATTGAATATAGTAGACTTTGATTATCTTGGGTGCCAGCTTAACATTCCATAAATAGGGGTAGTTTTTGTATCTTAACAGTACAGAGCACACCAAGTGGCAATTTGGAGTCAGTCACACATTTTCCAAGTCTTGGACATTTTATTTTTACTTTTTAAATATATTTTTATTGATTTTTTACAGAGAGGAAGAGAGAGATATACAGAGTTAGAAACATCAGTGAGAGAGAATCATTGATCAGCTGCCTCTTGCACACCCCCTACCGGGGATGTGCAAGCAAATATGGTACATGCCCTTGACCAGAATCGAACCCAGGACCTTTCAGTCCACAGGCCGACGCTCTATCCACTGAGCCAAACCAGTTTTGGCAAGTCTTGGACATTTTAAATTACTTCTATTTCCATATTGGTAGAATTGTCTCCTAAATTAAACCACTCCTTGATCTTGGCTCTCCCTGTCAGAATTTTGTGCATCTGTAACATCTTTGGTGTGGTAGGCCAGTTTTACTAGTAACTTTGTTAATATGCTGTGAAATAGAAAATTTGATTATGTATATATGATATTAAATTGTGAATTAGTGGGACTCGGATGTAATAGCATATCTACATTTGAAGATATTGGCAATTGATAAAGAAAATTAACCTCTAATTTTTAAACTGGAACATCACTGGAATAATTTTATAAATGAATCACAATTATGAGACTTCATTTTTGGTACACACGTTAAGAATTGTGTACAAATTGAAAAGTCTGCATACTTTTCCTCAAAACAACCAATAAAATCTCAATTATGAAAGAAAAAGAGAACCCTTACAACTATCCTTTATGCCATATTATAAAGGGTTTGTCTTATTAAACTGTAAAAAGTTCATGTTAATTCAAAGTTTAAAAATGGAATTCAAAAGGCTATCTCTGTTCATATTGGCATGAAAGGAGTCCTCCCCCCTCCCTTGTTCCTTCAACCCCTTCTCCTGGAAAGTCTGAAAACTGCTACCCTAACCCCTAGGCCCAAACCTTCCTAGATGCTTTTGCTGCTCAGTCAAAAGCAGAACATAACGAACTTAGGTAAACACGCGCACACACACACACACACACACACACGTACGTTTATGTGTATGGAGGAAAAAGAAATACAGGTACATTGAATATAATTAAGATTCCAACCATTGAAATTCCAAGAGCTCTTTCATCTACAATACTTTCCTGCAAAAGAACATAAATGGACATTCGGCACTAATAATTCAGTACAGTTCGATGTTTCCTCTCCCGTGTGTGTGGAGGGATTTTGTTTAAAATCGAGATTTGTAAAGACCCATGCATCGAGTCAATATTAGGCTCTAAAAGTAAGCCTGAGCCGAAGCCGGTTTGGCTCAGTGGTAGAGCGTCGGTCTGTGGACTGAAAGGTCCCAGGTTCGATTCCGGCCAAGGGCATGTACATTGGTGCGGGCACAACCCTGGTAGGTGGTGCGCAAGAGGCAGCTGGTCGATGTTTCTCATCGATGTTTCTAGCTCTCTCTCTCTCCCTTCCTCTCTGTAAAAAATCAATAAAATATATTTAAAAGTAAGCCTGAGTTGTTCTGGACTCACTCAGGGAGGCAGATAAACACTTCTGACTTTCTGGACCAGTGAGGGGTGCTTTGCATTAAGTAGCCAAGGTGTGGGGAAGCCCAGCCTAGATCAAATAGAGGTTTTTTGGAGACATTAGTTGGGAAACACTGTCCTAGTTGGTAGGCACTTAAATCAGTAGCACACTGAGGTAACTGTTGAAACTGGTACATCAGAAGTAACTAGGGAGTGAACAAAATTAATTTTTGGGTCACACCAAAATAGCACTTGAATAACATCTTGGCACAGATTTTAGTACCTTTAGAGAATAACAATTAAAAAATATATACCAGGCAGACACTATAGGAAAAAATACTCAAGTACCTAGAATATGTCGAGACCCCAGTAGATGCCACATAGCACTTAACTCATGAAAGTGAACTGAAATGTGACTTCTCACTTCAGGTTAACTGCTGAACTGTCCCAGCTTTAAGTGATTTCACACTCATGAAATTTATGTCTCTGGTCAGCTTTCCCTTGTTCTTAGACTTTTCTTTCTGCAGGAAGGTTTCTGACATTTCAGTTATTCATTTTTTAAGACTCATCTGTTTTACCTGCTCTAGCAATGTGCTAGCCCAGGGTTTGGCCAACTTTTCTATAAATGGCCAGATAGTAAATATTTTAGGCTTTCTGATCCATATGGTCCCTATTGTACCAGTGTAGTGCATAAATGAATAAGCATGGCTGTGTTCCAATAAAAGTTTACCTATGGACATATATTTGAATTTCATAAAATTTTCACATTATAAAATATTCTTTCTATTAATACTTTTTCTTTCAGTCTCGTAAAATTTTAAAACCATGCTTAGCTCATGGGCTTTAAAAAAACGACATACCATGGTTTGCTGACTCCTGTGTTAGGCTAGTCAAAAAGGTAACTATTGACAGACATTTCAAAGATATAAATAATGGCAATACTTCACACACATACTGGATTTGAATTCTAATACTAGTATAAAGTTTCTGTCATACACCCACGACATTATTGAGATAAATCACCACCACTAGTTTTTGGACGAAAGCATAGGTCATACATTTAAATATTGCTAATATGTTTTATTTTAACTTGTATTCTCACAGACAACTGTGAAGCTAACAATAAGGTAAATTATTTAAATGCCTCTGATTACATAGTTAACAACATTCTCATGCAGAGAATAAAAACAGTACTCAAAAGATTAACTATAGTGGGAGATATCTCTTCTAATGTAAAAAGGGAATATACCTTTTAAACAGGTAAATAAATGGGCAATTCCAAAAAATCCTTTTCACTCCTAAAAAAGGTTACTTGGCTAAATCAAGCCTACCAACATTTCTTTCACCTAAATGCACAGATGGGATAAATTAGAGGAGTTTGGAAAATGTAAATAAGAACTCCTTCTTTCAAACTAGAAAATAATGCTGTGGCCAAGCCACTCATTTGGCTGGAGAATCCTGTGCTCCGGAAAGTCACTGGTTCAGTTCCCAGTCAGGGCACGTACCTAGGTTGCAGGTTTGATTTCCAGTCTGGGACCCTGTGAAAGGCAACCAGCTATAAAAATCAATTACAAAAAAATTACAGCAACAAAACAAAACAAAAAACAACACACCAGAAAATAACAGTATCCTGGTGGTTTCTTTTGATACTAACACAATATTAAAAAAGCAATCTTTAATCTTAGATTTACACATCCCTGCAGATACAAGTTAACAGAAATAAATGGGCCATTTTCAGCTAAAGAATACTTTAACACAGAATACAACAGTTGGATCACAATTAAGTATGTGAACATATTTCTAGCTTTCCAGTTTCTGTAAGAATGTATAGAAAAATACATTTCTTCATGTAATAATTTTTAAAAAAACAATATCTCAATGACTCAAAATGAAAAGTATCTGGTTAAGCTCTCAGGTCTGGTGGTTGTAGTAAAATAGTCACATGACACAGTTTTATATGCTGCAAACATTTTAATGATTATTATTGAGCATACATTTTGGAAATTTTTTACTTCAAACTCCAACAAGTTAAATAAATGTTTATAATATACAAAGAAAATACAACCAAAAGTAAAATTCACTTTAAGTGTGCCTGGCATCTAGACCAGTGTTTTTAAAATTTTTTCCCCTTGATATATCTTCATTTTTGAACTCACAGACACACTTAAGAATTTGATCTTTATAGTATGGCATATAGGAAATAAAAATATACTCCCACCTCAAAGAAATAAAAGGTTGTGCATGATTATATGCCAAACGAAGAGAGAACGCTACAATACTCTGATAGTGCAGGCATCATTAAAATGGGGAGAGAAAAAAAAGCTTGAATGCTTATTAACTCCCTATGTTTTAAGGAAGAAGGATTTTTGACCAAGTAGCTTAAAAGCCAGCAAAACAGGGATCAGTGATGGCAACTGTAGTGTTTGAAGTATGAAATGACAAACTTTACACAAATACACTGTTAGAAATTTACCAGTGAACACTGAAGATCTCAGAAGCTGCTCTTTGGAACAGTGAAGCAGGACCACCTTATTCCAGTCACTTAAGCCCTTGCAGCAACACAGTGTTCTGTGCTATGTACTCGCTGGCTGGGTAGTTAAAGGATTTGTTTTGTCATTAGCAGCTAACAAACTTATTCCACGTTTTTAAAGCCTTCACGGTAGAAAAAAAGGCAAGTGTCCTTAGCGTGGAGGATCATACACTTCTCTTCACACAAACACAGGAGGCTTCACTAGTATTTTTAGTCTCTGATGTCTCCCATTGCACTTCAAAGCTCAATTGAGATGAAAGCCTTTTTCCATTGTAGCAGCGAGAAGGCGCTCTCTCATGATTTCTTCCGAAGAATATTCCGGCAACTTTAGATA